CCAGGGCAGCTACGCGAAATCGGAATTGAGAACTGAAGGTTGGAGTTCTCCAAGTGGAGTTCCACCAGTCGGACTCTTGACACCCCTGGGTGAGGGAAAATGTCACCTTTGTTTTTGTTTTGTTTTGTTTTGTTGTTCTGTTCTGTTCTGTTCTGTTCCTAAAGTGGTTAGGCACTAATTTCTGGGCTTTTCAAGGATTGCACTACAGAAGAATGTAAACTGATGTCAATCTCTGCAGTTCTGGGAGACAAACTCCCTGAGACCAGTCAGTGCAAGACACTCAGAGAATCTGTTTCTAAAGAGTTGGCACCAGCAGGATACATGACTTAGTACACAACAGAGATTTTTAGTATTTACTTCCCTCCTTAAAACACTTGTAGCAGTTTCAGGTTTTTAATTTTTTTCTGCGCATACAATTAAACTACATTATTCAATAGAAGTAGCTACTCGCAACAACTTAATTTCTAAGGGTCCAAGTCCCAGAGAATCCCTAGTTGTCGGGATGTTGAGAATATCTTCCTTTCCGGCCCTTCCGTAGCTTTGGGTCCTGTCACCTTCCACTAGGAAGGAGCTCTTGCAGAGACGGTGACAGCACGGCCTTTGTGAGTTGGCTCTGATGGAAGCCACCCATCCTTAGCAAAGTTTGCAGATTTTTGTTTTTTTTAATCTCACACAGACTTCCCAAGGACCCCAAGGCTTACTGCTAACGGATTCATACTTGAGACACACATTTCAACAATAATACAGTCTAATTTATGAGCAAAAGATTTGAAATTTTCTCCTGTCAACTTCTTTTGCTGTGTATTAATACTTAGTTATATTAAAAATTACCTGGAAAACTACAACAGAAAGTGGTTAAGACTCTGAAAGAGACCAACCACACCAACAGGACAGAGCTACAGGATTCGCAGAAGTCCAGTTTTACCAAGGTGGGAAATAAAGCCCTCTCTGCGCAGCTCTCAATTTCACCTCGTGGCAATGAGAGCTTTTTGGTTTGAAATTTAGAGACTTAAATCCTCAAGGTGAAAGGGAATTTTCTGCTCAAATACTATTATTTTAAATGCTAAAGCCTTCAGTATTAAGATATTGATTGGTAAGGCCTTGCCCAGGGATTTTCCAGTTGAGTATTTATTTAAGAAAAGGAAATCACAATATTCAGATTATTCTTAAAATGGGACAATCAGCCTCAGGCAAAATTGGTGTAAATCAAAAGAATACCCTAGAATTTGAGGCATTGTGATGTGAGACTTCAAATTTTGAGATCGGTTTCCTGGCTCTATGGAAACTGAAGCAGAAAGTTGTTACATTTTTTTATGAAAGGCTTTTAGTAGAGTTTTTAGAGTTTTATTTTAGTAGAGTTTTATTTCTATGCAATGCAGAATTGACAGACTCTGTATTCTTATCTCTCTTCCTGGTACACAGTATTATATACAGTTTTTAAGAAATGGTTATGCTTACAACCGCTTTTTGGGGGGAATGTTACATTGATCTCTTAAATTATAAACACTACAAAAATGTCAAAATAATGAGAACTGACACAACTTTGCCTTAAAGAGTACTAGACTGGGACTTGTCATACTATGTTAAAGGAAGACTTAGAGTGTTCATTGATGTTTACGATTTTAATATTTCTGAAGGCCGTTACAGTGGCCTGGATATGTGCTGAAAGCCAAACTTTTAAATTTTTTGGTTTTTTAAACAAAGAAATATTTTAAATAAATCCTATTTCAACACAGTGAAATTGTTGAAAACTGTCTCATAACAAAAGAAAAAAGTCATATTTAGGTTTTTTGTTTTAATGGTCAGTATTGAGGAATGAAAGTGTCTGCTGTTACCCTTATAACTATTTTGATAACTATTAGAGGTTAGGATTAAATACAACAAAAAAATTAAAACAGAAACTTCAGTTTGAAGTATGACATTTCAAATTGAGGTAAATAAGTTCAGACATTGTGTGGCTGTGTTCCGGTCATCAAAGGTCTTAGAAAAATTCCCAGTTTCTTGGAAAGTGCATGTGCGGCGTGACATCTCCAATGAGGTCACTCCAAACGTGAATATGACATACACAGGACACAGCGCTGCCAATCCACGAGCTCTCTTCCCAAGGGAACTGCATCCTTGGACTTGGGAATGTTTGCTGGCAGTATGATCTCTGATGAATCTCTCTCCAAAAGCAACCAAAGTCAGTAAGCCTAAAGAGCATTTTGCATTTCCTCAGAAGACGTCCTCATCAGTTAGAAACACAAATCAGACTGACCCCTTCAACTACTTAGTGGTTTTCCTGAAATCATGGGCTGTGGCAACCAGGTAGGTGTGGCACCAGCCACTTGGTTCTGTGTAGTCTGTCATATATTAAAGTTTCTAACCCCATGCTTTTATCTCCAAGAATGGGGAAAGTAGAATGTACAGATCGAAGTAGAGTATAATGTTGGGATGAAACAACTATTTAATCTTTTTTTTTTTTTTTAAAGCAAAACACTCAATTTTCTACCTTGTTTTCTAATTTTTATTTCATGGTAATACCGAAAATTGGAAAGTGTTTAAACGTTAAAACTCCTAATTGCTAAAGAGCACTGAGTAAATGGGAGCTAGCACTTCTAATAAAAATAAAGACAAATTTATTTTTTTGAAAGAAGATATGTGATTGGGTATTTAAAAACCAGCATCATCTATAATCTCCAAAAGATTACAGGAGTCAGCTTGTTAATATAGTAGTTAGTAGGTTGAGTATTTTAATTCACTATTTAGAATTCTATAGGTCCTTTATTGCAAGAAGTCAACATAGTTAATTTACACTACACATTATGTATGGAGGCGCAGTAGTGGTAGTAACTTCACTTAACGTCACAGGCTGTGACGTGTTTCCTGTTTGAGCACAGGCTGACCGAGGCTTGCACTCGCCCACTCACTCCAGTGTTTGCAGTGAGCACTTGCTGAGAGGGAACCGGGTTGCACCCTCCTCACTCTCTATCATTTTGTCACTCTTCCTGCTTCCGTGGTGGTTTATTTGATGCCTTGCTAGTTTTACATACTTGATAACTGATGGCGTTACATGTCTAAGAGTCTTAAAGGTTGTAAGGGAAACCGTGTCCCTGCTCAGCTCGACCACCCATCCCAGAGGATGGGCCTATGGAACCTGATCCTGTCGGCCATCCTTTCCAAAGTGCAGGTGACTCCCCAAAGAATGAGTCAGGTGACATTTAAAGCCGTGGGTTCTGAGAGGCTCAATTGAAAAGTCCCAAGGTTCTGAAGGAAAGTGAGTATCTTTTATCAACATTCACAAAACTACATAGTGTGCTGGTTGAGGCCAAAGGTCAATGTTATTACACTGTTGAGGGAGGGGCGCGCCTGTGCAGGTGGGTCCTCAGTCCCGGGTATTGTTACAAGCCCCTCACATGCATAAGTTCTTACATGCACAAAGACACAGGCTTTGGTACTGAAACTGAAGACCTTGTATACTCAAGAATCTTCACAGCTTCTATTGGACATTTTCTTTTTAGGAATGAAGGAAAATTCTCCCATTTTTGAGCCATTCTTTTATGTCAATTCTACAAAATTGCATGTAACTTTATAAATATTTTTAAAAGATATAGTTTTGTAAATATTTAATATTCTGCTAATTTGATTTTGAATTGTAAATGTCAAGTATTCTGTTTTTGGGGTTTTTATGTTTTATTATACTTTGTTAAAAAGGAAAAATTGTACATTTTTAGAATGTTTTTATGAGTAAATTTAATGTACTGAAAATAAAAATTTAAAAAAAGCCGTGTTTCATTAGGTCTCAAAATATGAAGTACATATCTTTTCAAAAAAACGCACAGTTCTTGATCTCCAAACTAGGGTGTCAATCCTTTCTGCTTTCTTACCAGCTTTACAAAAAGGATACTTGCTCTTATATCCATTTTCTGTGTTTTTCCCAGGTTTTAAAAAAATGTCCTTGGTGTGAAGAGAAATGTGAATTCTTGATTTGGGGTTTAAAGATATTACAGCTGTAGGTTCCATAAATGATCGTTGGTGTTAACAGGTCTAAGCACCTGTTTGAGCGTTTCCAGATGTGGGGTGAATGTGGCATGAATGTGTTGTCATCTAAAGCTCCATCCCCTCTGGGTTTGGGAGGGTGGCAACCTAATGAGCACGCCTCAACTACATTGTTGTGACCTGTGCCAGGCACCAGAGGGAGGTCCTGGTGCCTTTTCCCCATAAAGGTCCCCAGGACTTGGTCTTTTCAGGCCTGTGGTTACCCAGAGGAAAACACATGTAGACACACATGGTTCCAGGTATGGTCAGGGCCCATCGGATAAATAACATCTATCAGGAGATACAGCTGGCACCTGCTAGCAGCCTCTGACAGGGAGGGCTACTTCCACGGCTTTAGTTGTCTTGAGGGAACCATACAGGCCAGGCCCCTGAAGATGGGCAACGTGCACATCTGCTGAAGAAGGAACTCGGGGAAGCGGAGCATTTCCTTAGCTTGCTCCCTGTAGTCTTTCATAAACATTTCAGTGCCTTACTTCAATTTGAGTTCGGTCTAGAGCTTTCCAAATGAGTAACACTGGCCAGTACATGGCTTGTGTGTGTACTGTATCTTTACCTGCAATGCAGCTCCCCAGTCATCTGAGGTACTATATGCCATGTAAGGTTGTCTTGGCTACACAACACACACACACCTTTGTGTTTGTTTTACCTTGGTGTTCGTTTAGAGCTGGTTTTCAAATGTTTATTCCCACAAAACACCTAGGTCCCACATCCATCCTTACATTTTGTGGTGCGTGTATAAGTGAAGAGAATTTCGTTTCATAAGGACGAGACCAGGTGGCCAGCCAGACCTTGACCAAGGTGAGGAAGGAAGGCAAAGACATTCAGAGGTGCATGTCCCTCCACCCAGCACAGGGAAACCAGCCTGAATGCTCCTTGTTAGGAAAGATGTTACTTGGCTTTGGGTAGTACAGACAGGATGCAGGACTGCAACTCCAATACTGATTCATTAAGTTAAGCGTTGATGACAGTTTTTTAGTTGTGCCTTTATTCACCTTAGTTCATTAAAAATGTACTTGTTTTAAAGATCCTATAAATATAGAGTGACCATCCACTAATGTGGATATATGTCACCCCCTCAGCATGGTATTTTTGTTTTTTTTTTAAAAAGCAGAATCTCTTATAGGAATCTTATTGATCACACAGTAGTTACAAGAATGTCAGAGATAATGATGTATACAGTCTAAACAAGACAGGCTGATTAAGAATGTACATAATGTAAAAATATACATATTAAAAGGCATGTGGACAGATGCATGCAGCGGGAGGAGTGGGTGACGGGAGGTTGGTGGTCGAGGGCCCCCTTAGCCCTCTGTTACAGTAAAGAACTTCCACTAACCGGTACAGGTATTCCACACACATCTAAATATACAAGGGCGAACCATGACCTGCTAAATGTAGTCCAAAGTGGTCTGTGATCTTTCTGAGATACTTTCATGAAAATAGTAAATAGTGAACCCCATGCAGGTAGTAATAAGCACTGGTTATTCTAGTTAGACTTGGGAAATGTTGAACTTTTGACATGTCTGTGAAGAGAATGTCTCCTTTTCCTATGTTTTCTTCACAACTGACATGCACTTAAAATGGGGGATTTTGATGGCGGTTTGACCTACCAGTGATAACTGAAATAACTCTTAAAAATGTGGTTAACTTTTTAATATATTTTAGCTACATACTTAAAACATGGATCACCTACAGCTTTAAGCCAAAAGGTAGAGGAAGTGCATCTGAATTTTAATTGTCGTTTCTACTGTCCTAAAGAATGAAACTGATAAAACTGCTCATTTATTTACCAAAGCAGGCACTAGTTTGAGCTCTTAGATCTGATTATCCAAAACAGAAGAAATGTCACTCTTTTTTTCTTTGGACCTTTTGAAATACCAAAATCATAAATTATTCAAGGTTCTCATCGAGCAGTGGTGTTTTTCTGTGTGTTTCTATCTAGAGAACAAACCAAATAAAAACTTCCTAATGCTGCAAGAGCTTTGACTTGGAGCATACTTAGAAATCAGGAAACTTGAACAGCAGTTCAATTTTCTTATACAGCCCCATTTGCCCTGCTTTTTGCCAACTATTATGGCAAATGCATTTGGGGGGGGGGTAGACTATGCTTGACAAACTTATGCTTAAAGATCCTCTTACGGAGATTTCTCTAGTTGAGTAGAAACCCTCATTAAAAAGTTGGCAGGCTCTGTAAACCTTAATGTCTCTGAATGCTCAAATTGCAAGTTCCTATTGGGGAAAGAGCATTAAAATAACTTGAAGGTCTATTTTATCGGTAACTTAGAATGCAAAGTATTTTATTTTTAAACTTCTAAATTTGAAAACAAGACAGCCTAGGTTAAATAATATAGTTTTCCAAAGCTGAATGTGCTCATTTGGAGCTCGTTTTTTCTGCTTGAAGTACAAAAACAACTCCCTAAAACTCCTAGGCAGGAACACTACTGTTTTGATGATCTGTGATTAGATGAACTGATCAATCTCAGTTGGTAACATCCCTTTTTTTCCCCTTGGTAAGGGTTTAAAAATTTTTAGAACAGATGCATTTTTCTCGTCTTACACCGACAATTTCATTCCAAATGTCTCCTGAGAGGCATATACCATATACAGGAATCCGTCTTCATCCTTCTCACTTTCGTACACTTCCGAAATTGGCGTGGAAACGCTCACCATGCTGTGTCCATTCACTAACAGGAAGAAGGCTTGATTAGCGTTGAGCTGTAAGCGCCTTCTATTGAAAGAAAACAATGTGAAGAAATATTGACACATCAATAAGTAGGAAGCTTGTGTAAAAATACCACCCACCCTGATTCATTTAAAAGTATAAAGATTTTCTAAACACTGCTTCTGGCAAAAGAAAGTGCATACCTTACTGATGATAACTCTTTTCTTCCCACAAAGCACAGGACATTTTCTATGATTATATTCATGATGAATATTATTGATAATCCTTGATAAGTTATTCTTACTACCTCCGTAAGGCCAGTTTTAAACTAGTATGCTGTGCAAGAGCCATTAGTGTCTAATGTGAGAAAAAGTTCAAAATGCAGTTTACTAACTAAGATCTAAGCTGGTGCAACTGATTACCATTCTACCAAGTCTTGTGTTACTAATTCTTTTTTCACTAATTTTGCTATACAAAACATAACTTTTCTGATTAATGGACAACATCTACACTGGATGTTATGATGAAAGAATCAGAAGAGACATGAGATCAAGCAGGTAAGAAATACAAAAAAACTCAAATGAAATATCCTATAGTTTTATTAAGCTTGCACAGATTTTAACCAGAACTAAAGATTTATCTGTACGTTGCATAAAGAATGAGAAGTTACCCAAAGGAAAAAAAGGTGATTAAATACCTAATTATCTTGATGAGTTCACTCATGTTGACATGATCAGGTACAAGAAACTTGGTTTTATCCAGGACAGGAAGCTGCTTCTCACCCTTGTATCGTTCTATTATCACCTAGAAAAGCCAGAAAAGTGATTTAAAAATAGCCATAACAATGAAAAATATATAAAATACTTCCTATGTTGTAAATGGGACATGCCAAAATGAGATTTAAAATAGCACGTGTCAGTTTCCTCATACCTTTCCTGTGAAGGGTGATCATTTATTAGCTTAGACTCTATCCCTTACAAAATATACACAAGAGACAAAAGTGGCTCCCTCCAGGGAGGTAAGCAGGGTGGCTGCAGCATGGGGAAAGAAACTTAACTAGTATTCTTTTGTTACTTGGAACCATGAAAATATATTATCTAGTCAGAAAAAGACCCTAAAAGAACAGAGGCTGGGCAGCAGCTTAAATTGTAACGATCTGTCTCTGTATCAGTCCTAATACCACCATTTAATGTGGCAAGGCAGGAACCTTAATAAAAGTGTAAGACCTTAATTATGGTAATAGATTTCATGTCTTTTTGTACTAGAGCCATATTTCTCTATTTGACATGAAAAAAATCCTAAGTAAATATTTGACAAGTAGAGACCATGATTTAGCTGGTCTGGAGACAAATATGATACAGAAAGACTTGAAGATTCTTTCATTTTGATAAAACATTCTTATTTCTTTAATGAGTTTTAAAGTCAAGAACTTGGAACAATGCGGACAACAAAAACAGCTCCACATCATGAATGGAAATTATTAGCTCCTTGCCATACTTCGTTTCTATAGAGAAAAAAATTTTTATTCTAGTTTTAAGTCACTATAAAAGCTCTGACCACAGACTGGTGACTGCCTTTGAGCCTCATTAATCATCTATTTACGGAATACCACAGACACCCTTCTCCATGAACAGCAACTCTCTACCCTGTCACAGCGAGAAGATGAGAGATGGGAATGGAAACCGTTTACATATTTTCTTAGAAGAGGGGAAAATGTGTATCTGGACATTGTTCCATTGTTTGGGACCTACATGAGGTTCTAAGTAAGGCCAAGTCAGCATCACCTTCCTTGTTAAAATGGTGTTCAGAACATGTTATCCACAAGGAAGCATCAGTGGGCAGACTACACCTGGCCTGGGTTTAAGTGGTAGCAGAAATCAGAGGCAACACAGAAATCATAGCCTCTTGGCCCAGGAGGAGGCAGAAATAGGGTAAGAAAACTAAAGCCCTTAGAACCTTTCTATTAGAAAATGCTGAATAAGATGACCTGGGATACCTGCTCTCAGTTGCTGAGTGTGGTCTGCTTTGGGGGGAGCTGTTCTAACTGCTCCTACTCACTATGTGGTAGTGATCTCCATGAAAATACAATCACCTATAAGTGACTGGTTTACTTTTCATTTTTCCTTTAACTCTTCTAATTTGGGGGAGAAGATGTATAAATCATGGGACAAGGCATTTGGTTGATCTGAAAAGTGCCTTCTTGAATGTTTCACTTAGATGGTAGGGCTATGGACAGGCGCAAAGGAAAAAAAAGGAAGGAAGGAGACCAGAGGGCCAGGGAGCTGCCTGTGCCTTATCAGTCAGTCCATCCACCTGTCCATGCGTCCGTCCATCCTATTCTCAATATGTGACTGCCTGTGACAGTCTGTATCTCAGACTTGTTCAGGGTGTCACAAGCACATACATGGAAGTACAAATGTGTGGTTTCTGCAAAAAACCTGAAACTACTAGTGGAAAAGATTACTTAACATATAGTCATATTCACATTTCAAAAGGAGGCTGTGGAACATATCCTGGCAGACTGTTGGGCTATTTATTTCCAATGGCTAGCACCTATTAGCAGAGAGACAGCAGGTCCTCTAAAGTGAAGAAAAACCTTAAAATTAAGGAAATTCCCCAGAAGGTTGACGCCAAGCCATATGTTGACCCCAAGTGCAAGGACAGATTGTGAAATTTCAAACCAGTCCAAGGAAAACAGAGAATATGTCTTTTACTGTAGAATCCTACAGTTGTGAAAATGCTGAGCACACCCGTCTTATTTTGTTTTCTGTGTAGCTTATAGCCCCAACCCATGGACATTTATCTTCTTTTCCCTCACTTCAGTAGATGACCAGTCAGAAAGCCAAACATGAAAGCATCTACAGAATTTAGCAGTGGAGCCTCCTTACAAGTGGTCTGTAGAATTTGTAGGAGGTAACAACCATGTACCCAGAACTGTGCAAATCTTTCCAACAAGCACATGGGATGGAATTGATTCTCTTCCCATTTTACAGATGAGGATGTGAAAGCTCCTCTCAGAATTTTAGTAACTAGCCCAAGATCACTTAGTAACCTTGAACTGAGGGCCTGAACTCGGCCTCTGCCCCAAACCAAAAGTTCCTTTTGACCATCTCTCTCTAGACTTAGTGCCTCAGCAGAAACTTATTTAAGGTCCACCACCAAAGGATTCCGGGCAGAGGACACTGTTGGCAGGGCACAGCAACAAACACCTGAGGCCCCCCATCCATCTCCTGTAAAGAGGCCAAATGTAAGCAACTCTGGGGCATCAAAAGGCAGGTAGCCTGGAATGCGTAGCGGTGTTTAAATCCTGAGAGCCACTCAGTTTTCCCACAGCAGTAGTCTTTGCTTTCTTCAGAAAACAGTGGATATTTCCTTCCACTGATAAAATGCTAACAGTTCTAGCCCGTTTACCTCTGCCCCACAAATAAATACATTTGATTTCTGAGGTAACATTAAGGTAGCAAACTCGGACTTAGGAGATAGGATGTGATTAAAAAACTAGATTAAGGGCTGGCCGAGTGGCTCGTTGGTTAAGAGTTGGCTTGGGACGCCAGCGCTGAGCAGCAGGGCCCCGGTTCGGATCCCACATGGGCCAGTAACGTTGGGCCCTCTACAGCTAAGATGGTGAACAACAGCTCCACCTGGAGCTGGGCTGCCATGAGTCACCGGCAACGGCGGTACACATAGGCTGCAGTGGGGCTGCCGTGAGCTACTGTGAGTGGCTGGCAGCCAGTGTGAAGGGCCGGCAGCGGAGAGAGCTGCCGTGAGCCGCTGTGAGCGGCTGCCTCACCCGGGAAGAGCGCAATGATCACAATACCAACATGGGCCAGTGAAGCGACGTCCTCCACTACTAGACTGAAGAACCAAAGGACAACTTGTCTGTTCCCCTCCCCCAATTCCCCAATAAAATCCTTAAAAACAAAACAAAACTAGATCAAAATGTCTCAATTCTAGGTCATGAAACTGACACATAATTTCATGTCTGAGGATTCCTGCAGAAATCCCTGTCAGGTAGCTGCACACAGCAGCATGCATTCCAGTTGTACCTAAGCCATGCTCTCTTCTTCATATATTAACCATTGAAACATAGGTACCGAAGACTACCTACCGGGATTTTGGTTGGATGCTGCTCTCGGATGAGTCGGACATCTTCTACTCGTTGTTCTGCAATGAAAGCAAGAGACATAGGCATATGAAGGGCCCCAGTGCAGCTTCTTTCCTGCATTTTTGCTGGTGACTTCCGTATCTGAATTCACCTTTCCTTAACTGTAGCAGAACAAAGCAGTAAACACACCTTTCCCAGAACTGAGAGAAACCAAGCACTAACACTTCATATCTGGCAAAGGTTGGTATGTAAGGCCAAAGGCAATTATATGGAAACCAACATGCAATTACATGGCTCTATCAGGTGGTATGACATAAGACCAGGGATACACAATTTCTAGTTTAAAGGGTTTGGGACCCCAAGTTTGTAGTTATATGTAATCAGCAGATTAACTGCATGGCTTTACCAATCTCCTCCAAGGACTCCTATGGCCCATCAACTTTTGTGAATTTTCTATAGTTTAAGTTGGTATCAAAATCCATTATAAACCATAGGTCCTTCAATGCAACTTTCTCTTATTACTTCCAGCTGTTTTATGATATATTGGGTCGTTGGGAAAGTCATAACGTATTTTTCTATCTTTTTCAATGCAAAAATGTGTCATGACTTTCCCAATGACCCAATAATACTTAAAAGAAACTGCCCAAGAAAAAGGAATATGGCAAAAAGAATACCGTATTTGAGTTTTAAGTAATTTTGCTCAGTGCCCAAAATGACAGTTTAAAGGACAAAGTCTACTGTTTATATTTTTAACAGTTGTACTAGGCAATCTGGGGAATACAGGAAAAGAAACAAGCCAAGTCCAATTTTCAATAAGGTGACAAAAGAATTGGAGGAACACGTCATATATAAAAGAATACATGAACATATATGATTAAGATGGCATTAATTAAAATCTTCCCCAAAATTAACAAAATCCCCTTGATTGACTATTGGGTTGTTGGAAAAGTCATGACATATTTTTTCTAAGTTTTTTGTTGCAAAAATGTGTCATGACTTTTCCAACAACCCAATATATGATTCATTGTCATGGTGTTTGCAAATAAATGATCCATGTCATGAACTCCCTTAGAAAGTGCTTATACTGGTGGCTCCAGAAAAAAGATGCTATGACCTATATAAATATGAATTTATTTTAACATCATTGCCAATTTAGTTTGGATTTTTTTAAAAAAAATCGTATTCATAAAAGTATTGAAATAATTCCCATATTCAAATATGAACATATAAGCTCTATTTCTCTTTTCCCATCCAACATTTCTGAATCAGCGTCTAAGATAAATTACTAAATATAAACATATTTACTAAAGGAAAAGATGATTGCAAACTCATGGATTTCTACCAGTATATATTCCTATTCAACACATGAGGCTAACGATAAATTTAGCTATTGTTAATAGTAAATTTAACATGGCGGTTTTCATCTGTGATATTGTGATTTATAAGAAATATATATTTGGTCCTGGCAGAGCTCCCAAAACCCTTGGAATTTCCTAAGTGACATGAGTGATAAAGATGTCATTATTCATAACAAGTCCCTTTCAATGACACCTGAGTTTATGTTAATGAGATGATTTGGGGAAAGCCTCTAAGGGTGGGGGCTGGTTGCCAGGGGAACCAACCACTAGAGGGCTGGAACTTTCAGCCCCTGACCACCAGGGAGGGGAGGGAGACTGGAGGTTGAATTACAACAATGACCAAGGCTTTAATCAGTCATGGCTATGTAATGAAGCTTCCATACACACCCAAAAGGACGGGGTGTGAAGAGTTTCCAGGTGGCACACACCAAACATGGGGACAGAAGCTCCTGTGCTCGTACCTCAAGACCTCACCCTATGTATCTCTAGGCCTGGTTCATCTGGATCCTTTTAATATCCCTTGTAATTACCCTGTAACCTAGCAAGTAAACGGTTTTCCTGAGTTCTGTGAGCCACTTTAGCAATTTAATCAAACAGGAGTGGGCTGCGAGAGCCTCTGATTTATTACAAGTCAGAAGCACAGGTAACAACCTACACTTGCAATTAGTGGTTGAAGTGGTAGAGTGGGAGGGGCAGTCCTGTGGGACTGAGCCCTTAACCTGTTGGATCTGAGGCTATCACCAGGTAGACAGTGTTAGAATTGAATTAAATTGTAGGACACCCAGCTGAACTGCTTGATGTGTGGAAAGTCCACACGTCTGGTGTCAGAAGTGAAGCAGTGTTTAGTAGAGTACTGTGAGTACAGGGGACATACATAAGCCTGTGAACCCTTCTCTATTTCTGAGGGTGTCAACTCCTATTTATTCTAGACCAACACATAAACTTCCCTCAAGACATGCAAACCCTTTCATTATTAATAGAGAAGTTTAAGGCCTAATTTTACCATTGAATCTCAGCAAACAGTGTCTGGAAAACAGATCTGTTATTAAATAAACTGGGCAACTCCAGAAGAAAATGGAGCGAAATTATTACATTTGAGAAGACTAAACCCAAAACTGTTTGCTCAAATACAACTTTTGAAGTTCATTATATTTTTCAAAACATCTGCAAGAATACACTAAGTCTCCTAAGTGTCGATCTGCTTCCTGTAATTGGAAATGATGGCTACCTACTGGAGGATGAAGAATTCAAGTCAGAAGATTAAAAGCACAAGTCCATACTCTGCCACTAGGTGGACCATGATCTTCACCTCTCTGGACTCCACCCAGTTTCTTCCGCTACAAAAGGAAGGGGTTGTTTTCCATAGGCCCTAAGATCCATTTACTTCAACCCTCTCAATCCTGGTAGAAGATATCAGCAGAGCTATATGCAATTTTAAGTTTAACCTAAACTCACTCACTTGGAAAGAGGAAGAACTGCTCAAGCTAACCGGGACTGGTCTTAGGTTCTGTAAAGAGGTTCTCACCAAAGAATTGATTCCCCCTCATTTAGTGCCACAAATCTCTGAAAATTGTCAGTGCTGTTACCATAATCAGGAGCAAGGAAAGGCAGTAGCCATTAAAAGATATTTGATACTTTTCTGCAAAATGACTATGAAAGCCATCTTTCGGGAGGGGTAGGGGATAAAAGTGAGCTAAGGGGAAAGCCTAAATACAATATATATAAGATACACTAATGAGAGGGAAAAAATAGAGCATTCCTGCTTGTTTTACCCCCAGGGCCAAAGGTTCCAGGTGAATTCCTTCTAATTCATTAGAACATATTTTCCCAAAATAACATAAAAATACTTTAAGCAAAGGGAAGGTAACTAGTTGTAGTCATCAGAAAATGGGCATCTTTCCCACACAAATGTCCCCAGTTAACTTTCAAATGCCAAGACTCAGTGAGGACCGACGCCAGATCCAGCAAATAGGCTTCAAAATGCCGCTTTCCGGGTTGCACAAAAACTAACCAACTTCATATGAAGCGTTTACTAAGGTCACTAAAGAGAAAATGTCTAAAAACAACAACAACAAAAAAGGATGTCTAAGTCTTGTTAACCAACAAAACACGCTCAAGAGGCTGTCTGAAAAAAACATGCTCAGCGGGGCCAACAGTGCAATTCCTTTCCCGAAGCGTCTCAGGCCCAAGAAACCAAAAAAACAAAACACTTCACAATAACGAGGTCTACGAAGCCATCTCCAAGCTCCCCAATGAATCCTCACGTCTTTCTCAGGCTCCGGGAAAACTAGACACAAGCACCGCGACGTTAAGGTCCTAACGATTACCACGGGGGAAATCGGGGTGCCCTGGAAGGCACCTGGTGCTCCCCCCCTCCTCCCCTACCTGCCCTCCCGGAGCGTCTATAAACAAGTCCTGCAAAGCGGACGTCCACGGAGGCCACGTTGTGACTGCCGAATTTTCCTGCCCAAGAGGAGCCCTGATCACTTCCTCCTCGGCGTGACTGTGGAGGAGTCAACAGTGTGATAACGTGACTTTCAGTTTCCACCAAATGTCAACAAACCTAAATTGGGTTTCTTAGTCTCAAATGGGAGAGAACTGATTTTTTACTGCTGGCGTAAAAGTTAAGAACGCACCCGCCAGCCCAGAGGAAAAGCCACCCACCCTGGCTCTCCGGCTACAAACTGGATCAAGATGTCCCCTCCCGGCCCGGGGCTACCCTGGTCGCTGCAGGGGCGCCTAGAAACAGTGTGGATTCAAGGGGCTCCCTCTTCCTCTCAATTAAAGGCACTGACGGTTTTTAAGGGCCCCCCGTGCGGCCGGGACGACTTACCTGGAGATGATTCACTTGCATCCTAGAGCCACCACTTCAAAGGACCTGTCACAGCCCGGCGTCCGGGCCAGCCTCCCCACGAGTCCGACACTTCTTACACGGGTCTGCGCTTTTTGGAGGGACCGTCACCCGCCGCTCCCCCCCTCCCCAGACTGGAGGGCTAACGAGGGGGCCAAAGGTGATTCAGCACCTCCGCGCGAGCGAACGCGCCCTCGCGGAACCAGGTGTAAACGACCCAGGCCCTGTTTTCGGCCTCTCGCTGCCCTGGACCCTTCCCGGAAACCCGCGCGGCCCGTCCGTCGCCCGTTTAGGTCCTCGGCTCCGCGGTCCCTCGGACCCCGAGCCCTGAGCCGCGAACCCCAAAGCCCCTCAGCCCTCGGCCCCTCAGCTCCCGAGCCTCAGCGCTCATCCCTACCGGGCCCGGCCCCTCAGCCCCGCGACCCGTCAAAGTTCAGCCGGGCCCGACGCCTGGGCCCCGCCAAACCAGCCCCTCAGTCCTCCTGGGCCCGGCCAACCCT